CGATCGCCGTTATCCGTTCGATGGCAGGGCAGAGCACAACTACCGCCTAGGCAAGCTTCTGATGCGCTCAGTTTTCCAACCTTGGTGTTGAAGTCATCTAAAAGTACAACTATGTCGGAGCTTCGACTCATCCGAATGAGATCGGTGAGTTCATCGTAGAAAGCGTCCTTTTGGGTATCAGAACTGCATTTGGTCGGTGCATATGCTGATAGGATAAACAAACACGTTTTAAGTGTTGCTTCCATTCCGGTCGCTGATTGAACCCTGGAGACGCACATAAACGACTATTGACACGGATCCAATCGATAAGAGAGGACTCCACCCTATTACTGAGTACAATACCCACCCCGCACTGACCTACTGAACGAGCTTCATCGTCGCCTGATGTGCGAAGAACGTATCTCGTCGACAAATCTGGCGCGCTCAAGTGGTTCAGAGTAGTAGGATCCTGGATCCGAGTTTCCGACACACAGCAAATATCGATTCCTAAGGATTTCATTGTACGAGCCAGAAAGGCTTGTTGACCCAGCTGCATCAAAGTCCTCACGTTGAAGGCCCCGAGATTCAGTGATTGACGAGGCTTTAGAATCTGCAATCCATTCCGTGGTAAATCACTTACAGTGCTATTTGACAATGACCTTTGGCGAGCGACATCCAAGTTGCTCGAGGGACCATTACAGGTCGGTAGAAGGGGTAACGGGAGAGGGTTGGGAACGGAAGACAAAGAGTTAAACAAAGGTTGGAATATCTGAGCAGTAGCCCACTTATCACTACCCACCCCGCTCGATGCAATGTGCATCGCGATCCTGATTATCCTGCGCGACGACCGATGCAGTATGGAATTATTTTTTTGGTTGTGTATGCATTGGGGTTTGGTGGACGGGTACTTCCAGGGTGTCCAGCCACTAAGCAGGAGAACGATTAGGGTTCTCGTCCAAAGCCTTTAGTTCTAACAAGAACCTAACCGCAAGGCAGCGGGTGAGACGAAGTGGAGGCCGATTTACTTGGATCAATTACTCCACCGCTTTTTATCGACTGCAACGCCAAATTCCAGGCGAACCCCAACCTGGAGAACCAAGAGACTGAACTTCGTCTGACCTCTACTCATTGACCTTCCAGGCATGATAAGATCTCCTGGCTTTGTAAACCATCCTGTGTAGCTCGTTAGGTCACAGAGGTGCACAAGCCATCACACCACGTCAAGGTGTGGTCTCGTAGTGATGGTTCTCCTAACACCACTCTTTATGAATTCTCCATCTTCCGCTTGAATTTGCTTTCAACATTCCTATCTTCATTCTGCCGTTTTATTCAAATAGGCAACCAAAACCGGCGTACGAAAGTGCATGGTTAATGGCTGTAAAAACTGAAACTGATCTTCCGCTTGGGTTGGCTTTCAACATTCCAATCTTCATCCCTCTGTTTCATCCAAATGGGCGGCCAAAAGACAGCAACCAAAACCGGCGCACGAAAGTTAATGGTTGTAAAAACTCAGCTGAACTAAACTGGCATGCTTACCACAAAGCAACGATCATTGTGTCCTTAGACATTCGCGCTACCTTCGACCTCGTCAATATGGCCCACGATGGGGCTGCTTGTTTAAAAATGGAGTATTTGAGAATTATGCACCGATCCTCAAAAAGTTGAATCTTCATAGCTCATGTCTGGTTAGGATCAATGGTCAGCTCTCAACATCCTTTGGCGTCTCCAACAGAGTACTACAAGACTGCCCTATATAGCCCTTTTCTTTTCAACTTTGCCATAGAGGATGTTCTGCAGAATGCTTTGTCCGGTCTAGCAAACGGTGGAGTCGAACACTTCCCAAGAAACAGAGTTAATGACTTAGAACATGCCTATAACATCGCCCTGTTGGGTGACAATTCACAGGCAGTCAAATACGCTTTAAACCAAATGGCGACCAGTGATCACGACGTATGTACTTTGTATCATCCAAGCGCAAAGTGCTTGTTCAAGACTGGCAGAAGCCTTTGCTTGCACTCGATCTCTGTAGTGTTCAGATGAAAGTAGTCGAGAGCTTATTCACAGCTGAAAGTGGTCTTGGGGAATATATCACATCAGGAATAACGGAAGCTAGAGCAGCTTCTGCCTACCTGAGACACCTGTGGTGCCGCCGTCAAATCTGACTGTCCCTTAAGAGAACGGTTTACATCGCCGAGGTTCGTAGTGTCCTGCTTTACGGTTGCGAGATCTGGCCTCCGCGCTGAGAATGCTCATCGAATTTCTGTATTCGACCACCGATTTCTCCAAAGTCTTACCCATCAGATGAATGTTGACGATGTTCGTCATCGAAATGTCAATGGTGAAACTAAAAAATTCATTCATTTGTTCTCTGGTATGTTCTAACCATTTACCTTTCATCAATCTGTATCCCTTAACACCTTTTTATCATTGTTGTTGCGTTCACACAGACACACACATATATATATATGTATGTATATATAAGTCTCAGTATGGTCGGAGTGGGTTCTAGGGTTGCGGCTAGTCTCTCTTCCCTTGCACCTCACGAAACGCTCCCATACGACCAAGCGTCTTAACTAGTGTTCTGAGGAAGCCCTACTCACTGCCTTCTCGTGGCGGAGATGTTTTCCCACCAAACAGAAGACGAAAAGCCGATATCCAGGGTTATAACCGGGATGGTAAACCATTGGCAATTCACCTAAGGAAGTTAGCCAAAAAACCTGATTCTAAAACAACCAGGAAGAGGCATACGAATAACACTCACTCACATCTTGGTCACTGGTCAATTGATCGATTGGGCATTGAGGTGTATAAGGCACCTTGGACGTTTGATCTCGTCCAAACGACATATGATCCGATGTACTGGATACCGGCCCTCAATGGATCGCGATTTTCACACACCGCCTTGCTGCTTGGCTGGTCAGGCTTTTACTGACCGAAGGCTCCGGTTGTGGATTCCTTAAGAAAATTCACCTACCTTGACCTGGGTAACCTGGCAGTATTTGGCTCACACGTAAATCATGGAACGTCTTCCTTTTTTTTTATCAAGATTATTGTACCATGATTTGTTTGACCGTTCAGTCTGGCCTCAGACGGGTGTGAAATGTAATAATAATATAGTAACTTCGCGTATGCAGTCATCCTATATTTTCTTCTCTCGGACAGGGTTCTGATTTTCTGTGCTCACTCAAGTCTACTTCACAATGGCCGCGGTAGTTTAATTATAGTAATTCTGATAGTTTGTGATCTGAATGCGAGCGCTTTTCAATTAATTCCCGTTTTTTGTTTTATTTAGATCGCATTACGATGCAGAAGAGACACTCGCCTGATATTTTAATGGGGAAAACAAGCTCGCGGTTTGTCGCGGTTGTTGATAACGGTACTTCTGGTTCAATGGATTGCTTCTGGAATTGTCTCATTCAGCAGTCTTGTTCCGATCGGCCGTGTCTCATTGTTTCCGCGGGTGTTTGTTCCCATTATGGATCATTCTCAAATCAAACAACTGTTCTTTCTGCTGATAATTTTATTCATGTCAGTGATATCTTGACGTATATTAAACAGTACTCACAAGACCAGTTCCGTCTATCGAGTTCTGCGTCGTCGTATGTTTTTCTGGACTGTTTTTCTTGGATGTTATTTCAGTGTCCGAAACAAACAGAATTTGACTTCTGGGCCAGGCACTTGCTCGGACTTCTCTCCGAAATAGCGTGCTCGGAGTCTGTTAGCCGTGTGACACTTGCTTACCGTCCTGTTCGGAACCGTGATGGTATTTTGATTGCCAGCTCAGATAGTGTCTTAACCGCACTAAACCAATGTGTAACTACTCTGATTCGGTTAGAACGCCCACTTTTTCCTTCCTGTTCTACATTGACAACGAAAAATAACAACAACCGAGTCCGGCAACTAATATCACTGTGGCACTGTCGTGTCCGACAGGTTGATTTCAATTCTGCTTCATTAATCAAAGCAGCACCACTGAAGAATAAACCAGCTTTGTATGAGTGCCTCATGGTTGAGATGAATCCAGTTGATCGAGCTTTCTGTCTATTTACCGAGGTCGATAAGTCCGAGGCAGCGGCGTCTTCAGTCATGGAAGCTGCTCAACCCGAAAGTACATTTGCATTGAATTTAACAGAAAGCGAGAAGATTGCCCGAAGTCAAGTTGTTCTACCGTATGAAGCCGCCGTTCCTAACCTGGATGACAATCAATATGCTCCTCCAACGGGAATGACAATTCATTATCAGCCAGATTGTTTTGATGACTTGGACGACGAAGATCCTGATGATGATTTGTCAATCTGATTTTTCTTTTGCTTATCGTTTTTTACCTATATGTTTTCCGTCAGATCCTAACTTCAGTCCGTTATGCTGTTATGTTTATTGCCTGGTGATTGAGGTAGTTGGTACCAGGGGTTGGTATTATTTCATCAGATGCGTTCTCATGCATAAACATGGATTATATTGGATTTTTCTGTTACATACTTGTGCAATACATAGCAGAAATTCAAAACCCCATAACCATTAGGGCACGCAGTTCAATTATAAAACAGGCAATCGGAACTCACGGACTCACAGGGGTGAACTGTTTATAAACCCATCAAGGTTATTCTGTAATGTTCAACCAGAAACACTATATGATCATCTTCCTATTGAAATGACATGCTCGTGAACTGATAAAACATGCAGCTTTTTCCGCAACATACTTTATTAGTCCACACTGTGACCAATTTGCAGCGAATTATCGGGATTGTGTGGCATAAAATGCGTTGATGAGTTACCCAAAGATTATACACGGTATTGTGTCAAGCAAGATAGGGTACATTAACTTCACAGGTTGTCGTCGTGCGTGCACCTGGCTGCAGAACTAGAGGCACAGCATGCAGTGGGTGGGATACACCAGAAACTGTAGTTTTTCTCGGTCGTTCACAAGGAGAAAAGCGGTTATACATTAGAAGCAGGAAATATAACAGTTCAGTTCAGTTCAGTTTGAACAACCATTAACCATGCACGTTCGTGCGCCGGTTTTGG